TGTCCCCCCCCCCCCCCCCCCACTACCGTGACCAAACAACCGGAAGCCGCCTTCCTGGCTGTGAACGCATGCGCGCATAGGCATTTCCTGTGCAAGCAAGATGTCGCATCGAGATCAAGGAAGTGTGATACATCGTCAAATTCAACAGGATTGGGCCAATCGAGAATACATAGAAGTTATAACGACTAGTATAAAAAAGATAGCAGATTTCTTAAATTCATTTGGTAAGTTAAACATGCATCTAGCGGTTATAATTTTGTTTAGCTTGGTCCATAAGTGTACGTATATGTAGAAAGTAAAAGAAAAAACTAGTCTAGGATAAAGGATGAAATTTCTCAAATCTCCGTCATATCAATTGTGCATATTGACAAAATGCCTGACTCTTATTGTCTTATATTCTACTTTTGGACTGTTGAAAGTTGCAAAGGCTGAATCTCAGTAAATATGGGATTTACAATGAGAAAAGAACATCTTCATGCCTCTCAAATTCAGAAAATGTTTAAAATAAATAAATGCTAAGCACCAGTTTCACATTGGCAATTAAAGTACAGTGTAAGAGAAAATTAATACAAATGCAAACATAACTAGTAATATAGTTTTCCTGATCGAAGGCAAGAAAAGACGTTTCTTTTTTGCATATGCTCACAGGATCTTTTAATTTATCACTTGAATTGAAATTTACTGTTAAATTATTTCAGATACATCTTGTAGATCAAAATTAGCCATGCTGAATGAAAAATTGACTGCTCTAGAAAGGAGAGTGGAGTATATAGAAGCAAGGGTAAGTTTATTCTAAGAAAAAGTATGACTGCATGGTAGGTGGTTTGAGTTTGAAAACTTGCATTTCAATTTGCCAAACTTCACTATAAGCAGTTTATTTTAAAATTGTTTTTGTTGATGTTTTCTTTTAATTTTAGGACAATTTTTACGTTTAATATTACCAGCAATATTATAAAGTTATGCCCCATTACATCCTTAGTCATGTTCTTTTAAGAAAAAAACTTGTCATGGTGAATCATTTGCCTGAAAATACCAATTAAAACATTATCAGATATATTTAACATTACAAAATTATCTTGTTTTTATTTATTTTTCATTTTAGATTACAAAAGGAGAAACATTGTCTTAGCAAGCCATTTTGGAACAATGAATTTAACAGTTGAGAGAGTCTTATTATGATATGTACTTGTAAAGTTTACCAGCTGTGGAGAAAAGAATCACACTAACAACATTCTGGGTCACTGGTTTTGTCATCACTCTTGCTGAAAATGCTGGGATCAAACATGGGCTTACGTCACTGTCATGTGTGAAAAGGGAAGAAACATTGTGGGTGAAAGTGTACAAAATGTCCAGACACTGAAGCAGGATTTCCAGAGAGAACCAGCACACAAGAACACAAAACCAGTTAATTCACAAAAATAAACAGCTTTTAGAATGGATGAGAAAAATTATTCCACCAAGACCATTTTCAATTTTATATATTTAATAACCAGGTGAATGTTTAGCAAGTGTAAAGACGTTACAGTGATCATAATTGAAGGAATCACGTTCACGACAAAAAGTGCATATATCTTTGACAGTGGCTTGGGCAGACGCAAATGGTGTGTTTATGTCACAACTATTGCCTGTACATAATAAAAGGACTGTTGACTCCTGAAGTATTATGAGACCATTCACATTGAATTAAACTGTTAAACTCAAAAGTAAACATTTAATTTAATAGCATTACAAATATATGTATTTACCAAAATTCAAATCACCCATTTGTAAAGCATATTATTGATTGTCAGGTAACAGATAACAGAACCNATATATTTTTTGCGTATTTTGAAAATTCTTGTTGATTGCATTTTTATAGCTTGTCAAGCATAGACCTGGTGGCTGTGTCCCTTATTTTGTGTATGTGGGGGTCTATACGAATGCGCTTGCTCCAGCTGGTGGTACAATATTCGGAGGCGGTATCGCCTCTCTGATCCTCTAGTTTGTATTATTTTTTGTATGTTATACTTGAAGTTGAATAGTAGATCAAGTAGTTTCAAATGCCTGACAGAAAAGGATTTTTTCAAACTTCACTACATAAATCACACAAAGGTTTTGGTATGTAAAGAATACCTAGCACTTAATGCTTTCATGTAACACAGTGTAGTTATGTTGGTGACAGTATTATATGTGTGAGACTATGGAGTAAAATGATTCCAAGTATAAAATTGACAGTAATTCAAAAAATTGGGGTGGGGGTGTTCACCATAGCTGTCACCATCTTTTTTTTTTCACATTTTCTGATTACTATTGTTATTGATGTTGAAGTATCTTTACAAGTCTTTTTTTTTTTTGTAAACAATAAAAGATATTGAAACTTTACTATCTGTCCTAATCTTTTTCCAGTTGTACTAGGTCAATATTAAGCATTTCTTTTCTGAAACTTAAAAAGAAGAAAAAATGAAGTCATGAGGGTCATACTTTTTATTTTAATACCTCTGCAATTTCTTTCAGATAGGCATTGGAATTTATGCCTTTACATCAAGAAGAGATACACCTGCTATTCATTATTTATACATAGTGTCAATATTTCTAAATCTGTAAAAGTTTTTAAATGAGACTGAGAATTGAAATTCTGAAGCAAAAAGAAAACATTTAGTTTAACTCCCACCAACCTTTATTAACAATATATCACTATAAAAGGAAATAAAATCTATAAGTAATATTTTCATATACAAGTGAGCACTTAGAGATTCGTTGAAATAAACAATTTCCGGCACTGAGGTGCCTTTTAAAATTCTTTATAGAAAATGTGTTCAATATGTTATCCATAATTTGTCAACAAGATTTGAACAGGTCAAGAAAAAATGATTATCATAACTAAGTTCATTGTGTAACAAATATTGCAAATGAAACATTTCAATTTGAAGTTAATTTAAACTTGTCAATTATGCATCACACTTAAAAGAACGAAAAACCTCATTACATAGTACATAGGCATGTAATATTTGAATAAGATAGGAAATGATCTAAACTGGACCACCATTTGAAAGTGAGCAAATCAAATACCACAGTCTTTGAGCATTCATAAAAAAAGCACTTTCAGATTAACAAATAATAATACATTGTTGAAACTTTCTTATCATTATATTGTAATTTGCTATAGCAAAAATAAATTTTTTTTTATCAACCACGTTACCTGGGGGGAAAAAGGAGCACTGAAGCATATAGAGTACAACATCAATAATCTCTTTCTTAAAGAGCGAGGGCCCATCAAATTATGGGTCCTAGGATAGAGTATAGTGTATCTGATCTGGTATATTGCTGCTCCTCTAGACTAGAATAATAAATGGTATGAAATTACTGTATTGTGAAACATAATCTGTATTGACGAACATTAAAACTGCAGAACTTGAGAAACAATGCAAAATTTCATATTCAAGATGTAAAACACATGTACGTGTAGCTATTTTAATTAATAAATGCATTACTTGTGTGGAAAAAGCAGAACCAGTGACTAACCTTTTTACCCTTGTAAATAAATACATTCTAATTAAAAGCTAAAAGCCAAATGGCATTCCAGATGAAATAAGACTTAATAACCTAAACTTGGATCGAGCACAGGAGATAAACATTATAAGAAACATTGCGTATAGACTGTATACCCTATAGTAGTTGCACTGAGAGCTGCAACATACCATACATGCATACAGTTGATTTAACAGATATTCATCAGTAAGACATCTTATACGAAACACATAAAAATGGTATCAGCTGCAACAGGGCAAGAAAACGTTTAGGAATGTATTGCAAATTCTAAAGACTGGAATTCCGTTTCTGATCACCATGTATAAAGATAAAAAGAGAGGAAAAGAAAAAAAGTTTGTATTATGCATATGAAAACTATGTAATATTTATGCAAAAATATCAATATTGTTTTCTTTATATCACAGTTTCATAACATGAACTACTGAATATTAAGTAAAATTTCAGACTACATCATGCATAAACCGGTATCGCATTTCAAAAATCACCCAAGAGGATTATAATTTCAAACTGGCAGTGTTGCTTTCTTTTTCAAAAAAAAAAAAAAAAAGAAGAATTCTTCGTATGAAAGAATTTTTTTTTCACACTGGGGCCATCCCAACAGCCTTTCTTAGCTGTTCAAAGATGAAGAAAGTTACAATCGTGTGTGGCCCAATCCTCATCCAGTTGGGGAAAAAACCCTTGTACAATCCCAGAATTCCCTCTGATCTCACCGTCTTTACCACACAGTCCCATGAGCTCTTGTAAAGATGGCCATGTTTTCCTGAAAGGATATAATTCAAGCATTCAAGCAACAATAAGTATCTTTTAATAAATAAAATACGCTACTTTGAATAATATTTTACAAAATAATAATAATAATAAAATAAGTAAATAAATATTAAAATAAATGGCCTCAATTCACTTCATAACAGAATCATACCATTAATAGCACAGTACGTAGAAAATGAATCAGACATATAATCTACATAAAGAACAGAAATTATTTTGTACGTCTTCAACTAAGGAATTCAACGACCAGAAGTTGCATGCACGTTTGTAAAAACAAACAGGTGTACCTTCCATCTTTTTCTGGTTCATTACTCTTGTCTTGACCACATCCACTGGTGACGTAGTGACCGCAGTCATGAAGCCTGCCACCATGGAGCTGGTGATGTGCAGGGGAATCCCCTCAGTCATCAGACCAGAGTTCAACAGCGTGTGCTTGGTATGGTCATAGGTTGGAATCTATATTGAAATTTTCATAAAAAATGTGTTAAAGGAAGGTTAAAATGTCTACATGTATGTGTTAATGCCTTTAATCTTATGAAGTGCATCACATAACATACATAGCAGTTAGCATCACAAATGTATGCTGTGGTACTATGCATCAATCTAGATACCAAGCTACAGGTTTTTTTAATATGAGACTCACTTGAAAAGGAATATGAAGAAGTATAATATTTGATAGCCTGGCACTGTCAATTAAACTGGTTTGCCATCAAAATTGTTGCCTTATACATTGTGTGTGTGTGTGTGTGTGTGTGTGTGTGTGTTTGTGTGTGTGCATGAACATATGCATAACTGTGTGCATGTCATTTTTGAAACCAAAGAGTTTAATTCATCTTGGTCTAGTCTCACATCCACATTACAATTTCTGATAAAGGTTTACAATATTCCTTTTTAAGCTAAATAAAATAAATTATATCACCAAATTTCATGAATCTGCTATAACAAGGCAAACAGAGTTGAAAAAGTGGAAACAAAAATTATGCAAAATTGACCAGTTTAACTCTTCACCTGTGTTGCAGTAAGAATGGCTGCCCTCTGCACTGTGGGTCCCACCCCTGTCCACAAACCCCTTACGCCTTCCACTGCTGCTATGTCAGAGAAGGCGGAGAGGGTACTGTTGTATCGAGCTGACTGACCAGTCTTCAGCTTGCCCTCGGCCTGCATTCTGACCTTGACTAGGTCAGTGGGCGTTGCTATAGCACTGCCAATCGAACCTGAGGATTGCAGTAAATAATATATTATGTCTGATTGGTCCAGGTATTGAATAAAAATGGATATTTTCAACTTAAGTCTACATTTTTGTGAGAATCACTGTAAAGGTAAGTGTCAAATTCTGAGAGAACAACTGATTATATTTTCACTGCAAAAAGTGAAAAAATAAAAATAAACTAACTTCTGTCAGAAATTTTCCAAGTAAATTGCTTCATTATAAGCATTTGGTGGGAAAAGTAAGTATGTGCTAACCTACACCACAGGCATGCAAGCAGCAGTCAGACAGAAACACCTTTCACGTTCAAAGAGGATTGTCAAGGTCTGTGGTAAGTATGGATATTGGTATACGCACCTAATGGATTTGGTGTTGGATTAAAAAAGAAGAATTTCTAAAAGTTAGTAATCAAATCAATGTGATATCTTTAGCAGTACCAGTATTGTTTTCCATTAATTCTGCATCATCTGAAGATTGCATCTTCTGACAAGTATATTTTGTATTTGATGAAGACCTAGCGGTTTTAGAAGACTATTTAAAGAGTGGGTTAAATAGTTAAAGGGTAAGACTAATGTCCTAAAGTCTAGGAGACCATTCCCAATGCAATCCTCACCAGAGACTGCGCCAGCACAGATCTTCTTCCAGAGCGGTGTATGAGCTGGATCTGTGGCACCAAATAGTTTCTTCATCGGCTCGTAGGCTCCAAGCCGTATGGTGCTATAGCTGCCTTCACGCATGAGGCTGGCTGGTAAACTGGAGAGAGAAACCAGTACTTTTGCAGTATTTCTCCCTACCCTATAATAACTATTTAATATTTAATGTTAATCAAATTTAAGATATGTGGTGACTTTGATAAATGTCTCTGCTATTCAAACATATCCCTAAGAAATGTTCTAACAAATTTTGCCTGTTTTCCAATTCATTACAGAAAACTGCTATGCCATAATAATGTATTATAGCGACAGATTCAAGCCTCAGCACTCCTTTTTATGGTCACTGATATGAGTGTCAGAGGTTAATAATTAAGACTAACCCTTTGTAGAGTCCTCGCACACCTTCATCGTGGACTATTCGAACCCCTCCCTTTAGAAAGCCCTGGTAGTAACGGTCTTTGAACACACTTCCCCCTCCTTTAGTGAGCTCATTGTCCAGTTGCATTCGGATCTTAATCACATCAATGGGGTTGGTGACTGAAATGAATAATGTAATTTTATTATATTAAGTAATATTTTATACCTGCAATTTTTATGGCCAACTCTTGAGGTAGTGAAATCTGGAGATTTTCAGTTTTTTTTTTTTTTTTTTTTCAAAAAAAATAAATAAATAAATAAATAAATAAATAAATAAATAATGAAATGGAAACTTGGTCAAAACCCATAACCATAGTTCTACAAATTATAAATTATAAAATGAAATAAAATAATTGATAATAAATCGAAAATCAAATCTGGTTACAGATCTAGTATACCCGGGTGGGGTCTGGGTGCTATGAGATGGGGTCTTCTTTCCATGCACTTCAATGCAATATGTTAAATTATTAATCACGCTAGCGCGCGGGAGAGAGTGATGAAAAGGAATAAAAAGTATATCAGTATAAGTACCTGCAGCAGCACACATGTTGGACGTACCAGCCAGTGCAAATCGCCATGCTTGCTCGTACTGCAACGTCGACCCATCACCCGCCATCCGACCTAATTTTGAGAAGTTGCAGGTGTTAGCATGGGGAGATGCCAAGATGGGGCACAATATGGAGGATTACGCCACGTCGGGATAGAGCCACATGTCATATCAGGCCATATATTTTGATTGCATAAGGGTGCGGCACCATTGTATTGGATTTTTGCTTTAAAAATGTACTACAGATCCTTATGTTTTTTAAGTAAGTATATCATGTGTTTTAATGAGAAACAAGAAAAGTTTTCAGGGAGTCCAGATCTCCGCCAAGCACCATGCACCAATAGATTGTGGTAGTTGAGAGAACAACCATTGCACATTGTGACCGTCATCGGCCCTACCTCGCAATGGCGAAAAGTCCTTTCAAACATCCCAGATCTATCAAAATCTGATCACTTTATTTAAAGTTGTAAGTAATGTTTCACCTTTCCTGAAAATGTCATCAAAATCCATCCACAACTTTTTGGAGTTTGACTGGGGACGATCAAAAAGACAAATAAAAAGGTTAAAAAAGAAATTTCTTGCCGGAGGTAAAAGTGAAAAATACGAGTAGGCCTATGTATTTGCAGAGAGTACATTGTGTACGAGCATAATGGCCGAATTTATAAACACAAACATTCTGACCTTTTTACTACATTCAGTGGACACGTAAAACACTGGGTAGCTAAAACGGGGGCGTCTCGATAGTCCGAAGGTTCATTGGTCCGAAGGTTCATTGGTCCGAAAAGTGGTAACATTTTCATCGATTTTTTAATCAAGGGTTCATTGGTCCGAAGGTTCTATAGTGAACTTTCGGACCAATGAACCTTCGGACTATTGAACCTTCGGACTATCGCTACGGCCCCGCTAAAACATAAAATGGCTGCTGAACAGGGCACTTCACATTATTGAATACTTTTCATTTACGGTGTTCTCTTTCCTTATGGCATTTTCTTAAATTCTAGAACAAATAGGGCTATAAGTGCCAGTCTTCCTTTGCAGCCCCTTTGACTGTTTAATCCAGGAAACAGATCTAGACCTGCTTGAGGTGGAAATTGGAAACTATATAGTTGGACGTGCCCAACATGGAGGCATACCCCGGTACACGAGTGTCCTCCTGTCTTCGAAAACGACAAAATCCTTTGTGAAACTCATTGCTTGCTTATCAGCTGCATCTATGTCATTTTCATTTACAATGTCGTCAACACATCACCAGGAAGTGACGTTTTACAATGGCCAAGCAATGTACAATGTAGACGTTTCATTTCTGCTATGACGTAACAATCACATGGTATACGGGCTCTCGGTGAAGTTAGCATAAGGAAGAGTGAAAGCAACAACACTGCCCTAAATTATCTGAGTTGGAAAATTCACAGACATATGGTCTAGAAAAAAAATGGTATCTTTGGTCAAAGATCTTGATTTAGTGTTTCCCATTTCAATTTTCCTATATCTGCAAGATATATCATATAGTTCCAAGCTCTGCATAGGATTTGATAGAATTAAAACAAAAAATGGAGCTTTTTTGAAGAAGTTTAGAATTGTATTAAAATACGTTTTTGAGACAAATGCTTATTTTTATCTCAAAGAAGGTGTTTGTCAGAGTTATAAAAAAATCTGAGCTCGTCTGGGATACAGCTACAAAGTTTTAGAAAATATAACGAGCATTAACACAGGTTTGTGGACAGTCGCGCAGGAGATCCTTGCCACAAAAGGAACAATAAAATTATTCATAAGATCCATCCAAGGCAAGTTTACAGTCTAGAAAAATCTTATAAAGATTAATCTAAAACCAAATCATAACATGAGGGGCTATGTTAAAATTATTTTACTTGTCATTAACAGTAAACAGTCTGCTCACCTTGCCCGGACTTTTTCAACATGTCGGGACATAATAGGCATTTTGCAATTGCTACGTTATTCTTTTTTGGACTTTAGATGGGAGTTGGAGTAGTGTTCCACCAATGAATATTAGAGGTGGCCCCTGAAGCAAAATGAATCATTTTTGAAAAATCAAAATTGAAATGGGATGCAGTATTCTACCATCCAATTATAAGGATAAAGGCAAGCTAACCACACTGCTAAGACTTGTCATTATTAAATGTGGAGTTCAGCATTTCATTATTCTTTCATAAACGTCAAACTATTTGGAAACGATTTGGATACATTTCATTAAACTCATACTTTATATAACCATAATGAATTTAATAAAAGCGTCTTTACTTGCATAAAAAACAGGAAGAATATTTCCAACAGCGCTAATAAACAACGTACAATTAATTGTAACAAAACCGAAGACCAACGCAAATACGCTTTTAAGTCAAATGTACGTTGTGAGCTATATTAATATAGATCTAATCTAAGTAACCTTCTTCGTTATCTATTGCAAGATGTGGTCAGTCCATGAAATAAATCCATATCAAAGCCTATTGTCAAAGTTGAAGCAAATGAAGTCTTAACCTATAATGCGAAAAGTTAAGATCTCCTGAATTAATAGAGATAAGTAAAATTGTAAATCGCTATTTCCATATTTCTTCTCTGATGTTTGTGTTAACGCTGTAGTCAACACATCACTAGGAAATGGCGCCTAATATTTGTAACGAAACAATGTACAACATACACGCTGCGTCATAACGTTCTAACCTGACGTAACAATCAACAGCAAACAATGATACCCAGGTAGCCTAGTATAATTTTTCATCATACTGCCGGAGCTCTCACTTTCTCTTATCTACTCTTTTTACATCAAAATTGGTGTGCCAGTTCATTTTGTGGGCATGTATAATGAAGAATCCATCGAGGGGATATCATTAAGGGCAACCTTCCCAGTTAGGTTTCTTTCTTCACTTTGCAGAAACCTAGAAAACCGTTGCACGTATGCTCGACAATTGCATTATGGGTTAAACTGTTGCCAAAAACTGCTGATATAAAACGAATGTCGCAAAATAACCCCAAAGAGACAATAAATATTGTTAGCTTGTTAAACAAAATTACCGAGCACGAACGATAATAATCGAAATAAATTTTGTGCCAGGCATCGGTTCAGCCTCAAACTTGGCACGCCTATCTCCAATCTTTCAGGTCCCGTCGTTCGTTTACAGTATATCATCTGTATGGAATACACGCAATCAAGCCGAAAACGGTACGACCCGTGTCGTCTAATAACTATAGGTTTTGGAACACCTGTCGAACCGGACGTGTCTTACGCTCAGAGGTCGCATAACTGGCTCACGAAAAAGGATGCCACGGGGAATGTACATCTCAGCGTGACCATGCACTGTCACTTGTTACGCGATGTCAAAGAAGAGGTACTTGAGTTTAACAGTGCTTGGACACAATATTCTGTTATGTGGACAAACTGACGCAGCCAGGGGCAATCAAAAAGTACCGGTCCAGTGGTATGGCTCCTTTTTTGGGATAATGCGACATTAGTTTTGAATACTTTAATCGCTTTTGATCGTTTTTTTATAATGGTAAACTAGTATCACAGTATAAGTAGGGCAGTTTATGGTCGTTTTATGCGGATATTAAGTTTATTCACCCAGTTTTTTTTTAACATATAGCGATTTTACGACAATCGTTTGTTTTCCAAACAAGTTGACATGTACAGCCGAGCTTGCCTTTAAACGTTTATTTCCGTCAACTCGGAAAGGACCCGTGTTACATGGATGACATTCTGTCTTTTTTTATTTCCCACACGTCGGGTTTGAATGCTACTGTCTTAGTTCTGAGGATTCATTATTACAATTGTCAATGAATGTTATTAATCTGCATTTATTCTACTTATGAACTCTAATACAAGCAGAGCACAGGACCGAGCGTACTACGAACAGTATGGCACAGTGGAAGGAAAATATAACCGAGGCGTTCTATTTCGTCTCACTTATTATTATTAAACATTTTGATTTTTAAAATTTTATAACCGAGCCTTTTTATTCATTTGTGTCAGTTTCGCGATCTCCGACTGAGCATATAACGAATAAAAACGGACATTGATTGGCAATTAAAATGTTTTATTGTTAAACAGTTTATAGGGACATCTCACAAGATTTGACTGTGTAAAATACTAGTACATAGTTGTTTCTGGGACGTCGTTTTCACGAAGCCAGGCTGCGCAAGTATCGTCTCACAGGTACCTGGACCAGAAGACGGGTTCTGAATGCTGTAGAACTGTTTTCTTGTTTATGGCGACGCACTGGGGTTGTTTTAATCTTCGCATTTTTTTTTCTGTCCCAAATTGTTCAAGTCTGTAATTGCTGGAAAGAAAAAAAATACCCGAGTTCCACAACTTAAAAATACACTGTAGTTATAAAAAACGCTTGATCGCAAAACTTCGGTACCGATACCGCAAAACTTTAAAATCTTTCATTTGAATTTGACGGTGTGTTAAGCACAGTACGGCTGATAAAACCCTTCATTTTCTTAATTCTTTAGGTTTCGCATCTTAGAACGATAAGCACTAGAGCACTTTATGAAATTTAAGAAAAAAATAACTCGTGAGAATTTTACATAAAAATATAGTTTTAAGTGCCAGTTACTCACCCAATAAGCCATCCTGGCCATGCGCCTAATAGTAGTACCGGCGGTAGCCGCGTTTTCCATAGTAACCGCGCCTCAGATATCTGTTCACAATACCGGCATAGTTGGCCGAGCCACGGGCTTGGGCTGCAGCATCCAGCTGGTAACCCTGGGGGTAGTATGTGATGCGACCATCTGGTCCTGGGTAGAAGTATGTACCTGGGACGGCACACGCCACGGCTAAGATAGCGAGGAGACAGACAGCCTTCAGCATCATGGTCCTGACTTGCTAGTGAGACGATCAAATATCGACACGATGAGAAGACGTTCGGTCCGCTCTTTTTATAGTGAATTCTGTGCGTGTAACTTGCTTATTTTGGATTTCATTCATTTTTTTGTGTATTTTTCTTAAAGTAAGGTTATTGTTCTGATTCGTGTCTTTGTTATATTGATCGCGTGATTTAGGGTATATATGGTTTACAAAAGGTCATTTTGTGTTTCAAGTAGGCCTACTGGCTACCGGAGGCCCTTCCAGTTGTTAATGTAAGATACAGAAACTAGGTTTAAACGAAAAAAAAATACATTGATTTAAAAGGAAATAAAAAACTTAGCTAGTCACTCATTTGAATTATAAGATACTAATTTTACACCATTCGGATGGTTATATCTATAGTTCAGGAAGCTTTTTCTATTGGCTTCTTTTTTTTTTTTTTTTTTTTTTTTAATAAGCATTGTATCTCCAATTCTCATAGACCTGTTACATCCATCTTCATGCAAACTCTTGTCAATGTACATTTATCAACCACGTCAGTTTTAAATGCATGAAGCAGGGGAGGCTACATGGAGACCACACCATGCCCGGCGTTAATTTTTCATTAAATCCCCCCTCCCCCCATTCAATAGAACAGTCTTTCTAGATGCATGGGAACGGTCAGGTTAAGCTGGTTGAATGGAGTAAAGTTAGCCTCGGGTTATAAAACAATATTATATTTGTATAATAAATTGATTGGAACGAAGAGGGATCTTGAGCTGGCGGCATAATTATCGAAGGGACTAATTAACCAATCCTTCTTATCCCGTGGTAATAGTCACGTGACCGGGCATTCGTTTTTCGCTTAACCCACCTTCAGCCGTATTAATAATCAGTTTATTTTCAGCCACTTAACAGATATGTAAGTTAATTCAAGAATTAAAGCACGGATCACGACTCCTGTCCTCAAATTCAATATATATAAAGACTTTTTACAACTAGCAGCTAACGTCAACTGATTTCTGGCATAACCGAACTATTTCGAAAAATAAAGGAAATATATTGCAGTTTTTATTCCAGCCCACAGCATGAACTGAAATGTGAAGAAAAAAAAGGTAATGCGCACTATGCGTGAAATTGAAAAGAAAATGATGATCATGGTGATCAATGAAAAAAGATGCATTTATGCATGCACTAAACTCGTTTTTCAAAGCATTACTGACAAATAATATAAATGTCTCATCATATCATTTTTCAGTTATATGGAGGACAAATTATATTTAAATCGTACGCCATTCTATGCTATTATAGTGTTGTTTGAAAGGGCGCCAAAGTGAGCACATAAACCCATGTCACTTTTTTGTCTGCCTGCTAGTATAGGTATGTTTGTTCTTTGATAATCGTTTTCCAACTGAAGACTCGATTTTACCAGCATTCTCTTGCCGCCCCCCCCCCCCAAAAAAAAGGCGTATATTGTTTCCATGCACGTATTTTCTTTTTTTAAGTTACTTTTTGAGAATGCTATGGGATTTGTAATGCATCCTTTAAGGGCACCTCAAAGTACAATATAGATGACAATAGAGATAACCTAATTTACGGTGAAGTTACGAAAGCTTGCGTGTCTGGGTTTTGCGTGAGGGCTAACATAAAGTTTTACTTCCGGGAAATACCCAACAAAAGCCTAGTTCTCAAAATCCAATCCAATCAACCGTTGGGTCACGCCGTAGCGCGCTTATGTAAAAGTGGTTAAAGTGATTGATGTCCGGATAGATGTTTTTACCTTTGTTCTCTTTTTGCACGTGCAAAAATTCTGCTGAAAAAGGCACAAAAAAGACAGATAACTCCCCAACAAAAGCGTAGTTATCCAAAAACAAATTAATTTACCGTTGGGTCACGCCGAAGCATGCTTATGTAAAAGTGGTATGAGAGATTGATATCAGGATAAATTTGATTTACCTTTGTTTTTGTCAGCTATAAAGATTCTACTGAAACAGGCAGAAAAAGTACAGATAACTCTCCAACAAAAGCGTAGTTGTCCAAAAACAAATCAATTTACCGTTGAGTCACACCAAAGAACGCTTGTACAAAAATTGTAAAGGAGATTGATATCAGGAATTTTTTTTTTACTTTTTTTTTCTTTTTTTGCTGCAAAGATTCTGCGGAAGCGATGCCCGTGCAAATGTCCCACAAATATCCTATCTCCTTTACACTTTTTTGCGTCTCTGAAATATCACCTGAATTCCACCGAACGATGCCAATATTTTTGAAATCTATGATATTGCTATTATATGCGGAGTTACGATTTTAAAAAAAATTCAGAAATTAAAGATTGACAAATAGAAGTATTAGAAGCCACGGAGGTCGCCAATCCTTACGACGCCGCCCGCCACACAGACGCCGCACAGGGGACATAATAGTCCAGGAAATTGGNAGATAACTCCCCAACAAAAGCGTAGTCATCCAAAAACAAATTAATTTACCGTTGGGTCACGCCGAAGCATGCTTATGTAAAAGTGGTATGAGAGATTGATATCAGGATAAATTTGATTTACCTTTTTTTTTGTCAGCTATAAAGATTCTACTGAAACAGGCAGAAAAAGTACAGATAACTCTCCAACAAAAGCGTAGTTGTCCAAAAACAAATCAATTTACCGTTGAGTCACACCAAAGAACGCTTGTACAAAAATGGTAAAGGAGATTGATATCAGGAATTTTTTTTTACTTTTTTTTTCTTTTTTTGCTGCAAAGATTCTGCGGAAGCGATGCCCGTGCAAATGTCCCACAAATACCCTATCTCCTTTACACTTTTTTGCGTCTCTGAAATATCACCTGAATTCCACCGAACGATGCCAATATTTTTGAAATCTATGATATTGCTATTATATGCGGAGTTACGATTTAAAAAAAATTCAGAAATTAAAGATTGACAAATAGAAGTATTAGAAGCCACGGAGGTCGCAAATCCTTACGACGCCGCCCGCCACACAGACGCCGCACAGGGGACATAAGGGCAGTGTGCCAGGACAGTACGGACTTCGCAGGACAACTGTAACGATGTATATAATAAGGCATATAAGACAGTGCAGTTTCAAAGTTTTTTTTTTTGCTGACAGAGTAATTAATTTGGGTTATTTTTTACATGAGTTATGTAAGAGACAGATAGTGGTAATTTGTTTGCGTTACATTGACTCTAAAGCTGCGATTTCGCTTGTTACATGTTTGCATTTTCAAGTTACACAGCAATAATCAATTATTCGCTTTGTTTTGAAAATGCTTTTATATAATGCATACCAGTCGTGAAAAGCAAACCTGATAAATTAAACCTTGTTTATTCGTTACCTCACGTGTATCTGACTCGAAAACAAACTTTTCACCAGTTTAACAAAGTATGAGAGGACATGAATACCGAAAACAAGATAGCATACGTAGGCCCCTACTTATCTTGTTTTGGAAGATTAAAAGGACCTAATAACATGATATCGGAATTCCCATTTGATGAAGTGGAGATCAATCATAATTTTTGCATTAGCACGAATAAATTATATACAACATGTTGTGTTAAGGTACAATAATTAAAATTAAGTCACGATTAGAAATATGTAGACGTTGTTACAAGACATATTAAGATTCCGCTATTATATCAATTCTTTGATCATGATGATGTTTTATTGTAGAGTGTTAATAGTCAGATGGTTAAAGCTCATGTTTTACAATTATCTGGCAAAAAGTTTGTCTGACAAGGACTCTTCTCTTTTCAGGTTCTACAGGCGTATTGGTTCTTACCACGCTTTGCTATATGGTAAGTGGATTCTTTTTGAAATTTGTAATCATGAAACTTATGAAAACACTTTTTTTTTTTTTTTCAAATTTCTTGTGAAACAGATTATTCGGTCACAGGTAGATAACATTTGGGGAGGCGAAAGGGGAACAAACTGACACACTGTTCTTGACTCACTGATGTATGTGAAGTTTGCGAAATTTCAGAAATGTCGACTATTTCAGAGGATACCTGTCATACCCGGTACGTGGGAATTAATCAGACAGAAATTAGCACAGTCGTGAAAAAAAAACTAGATTTTTATATTTTAGCAGAATTCAAGTTACGTTCACTGGACACAGAAAACAGTTAAATGTTCAATGTTCACAACATGTACATTGAAAGTGTCGTGAAAACTTTATCTGATTTATTTTTTAAACTGAGCCAATTTAAACTTGACATTAAATTTGTCTGTTCATGTACCGGTACATGCAGAATTCGTGCAAACAACGTTTTGCATAGCCCTTTAATAGTACGGTACTTAAACACAAGATACCATGTGAATTATTGACGCATGGGCTAAAAACTGTTCCATTCTTTTGAAATGTATTTGGCTTTTGACAGAAAAATATATGAGGACAACTTAATTTTGATACGTAATGACTTCTTACACGCATTACAGAACTCCATTTGTTCACTTAATTTTTCTCATCATGTGCCAAACAGAAGTGATTTAAAACACTAATATTTCAAGTTGAATGACATCTGTAACAAGAAAAAAGTGCAGGGTTCTTTATAATGTGTGAATTTGTTTTATTTTTCGCACGACCGCATAGTTTATTTGTTTACTTCAGCTAAAAGTAAAGAGGTTATAATTTCAATGCTGACGGGCCTGTAACAGAACTGAAAATACAAGTCATCTGGTGCAAAATCATTAAATGACAAATATTCGACTTTTAGACACTGAAATATTAATATACACGATTTATGACGTCAGCAAAAGGGCATCGACCGGCAGCTGCACTAGAACCTCACGTTTAAACAAGGTCACTGGACACAATGGATGGACAAGAGTTGGATACGTAACTTACAAGTCCATTTCCGACGGCAAGGCTGAGGGAATTGACTTAGAATGCACATAAAGTGTGAAAGTATATGATTACCATAACGGAACATAGAAGAAACTTTTCCTATTTTAATTCACATAAAATGTTGCTTTATCAGTTAAAAAAATATGAAAAATATTCCCAGAGTTTCTTGTACTTGTCTTTTTTAAAATAAGTTAAATAAGCTTAGGGGATAGCAACACGAGATACAAAAATATGTACTTTATCAAAATGGATTTCACAGGATTCAGATTCCATCTGATATTTTATATTCATTCGCCAATGTCCTTTTCTAATCATTAAAAACACTGTACCCAAAGTCTTTATATTTCTTTTAATCCTTATGAAATTCATTGCCATTTTAATTTTTTTTTTCCATTTTTTGTGCAGGTTATGTATTTGGATGTATTTAGACGACAAGACACTTAAAAGTTACAAATTAAGGGAATAGACATGTCAAAGTATAAAAGTACTAAACCCGACCAAATGCAACCATATAGTTTCAAAAATTAAAGCTGAAAAAAAAAAACACCACAGGGTTTCGTTACATTTTTTCCACCATTTTTCGTTGCAATGTGAACTTAAATTACAGTAGGCCAAGAATACGAGCAGACATATGAAGGAGGCGCAGTTTTTGTTGTTTTTTTTTCTGACAGAATGATTAATTTACTAATCCCGACCAAATGAAGCCATACAGTTTCAAATATTAAAACTTTAAAAATACCACAGGGTTTCGTTTCATTATCTCCTTCATTTTCCATTGCAACGTGAACTTGAGGGACGGACAGTGGGCCAAGATTACTAGCAGACTTTTTATTTTTATTTTATTTTTTTATTATTATTATTTATTTATTATTATTCTTATTTTTTGCTGACAGAGTGATTAATTTGGGTTATTTAGTACATGCCTCATGACTTATGTAAAGAAAACGGTAGTAGTAATTTGTATGCGTTACATGGAGTGTAACCTGCTGCCATTCTTAAGTTGCATGCTGATAATCAATTATTCACTTTGTTTTGATACTGAAGAAATGCATTTATGTGGTGCATACCACTCGAAAAATGCAAACTTGAGAATTATAAACTTGTTTACTCGTTACGTCATGTGTATCTGACTAGTAAACAAACATTTCACTAGTTTGACAAAGTATGAGAGGACATAAATACCGATAACTAGAGAGCATACGTACTTCTCCTGTTTTGGAAGATTAATAAAGGGACCTACTAACATGATTTGGGAGTTTGATAAAGTACGTATACTGTGATGACCCATCCTTCCTTATGTTTCTTTTTTATACAAAATGTTTATTTACTAAGCAATAGTTCTCTGTACAGTAACAATAAGCTTATACATAAAGTATTATTTCACACACGCTCTACAGCATTTTATTATAGCTTAAAAGCACGTCACATCAGGTGAAAGTGATCAGTGCGTCATTACCCCTACCAGTGTATGCTGTGTGCTGAAGGATGCTATTTAAGCTAAGAACCCGTAGTTTCAAGGATGATTTATTTGTGCTTTGTTTTACCAAAGATATTGATTTTATTCATGTAGTCGTTGCATAACGTATTGTGGAGATCACTTACAATTTTTGCACTAGCACGAATAATTTTAAGAGCGTGGATGAATTTTATATTAAGCATGCTGTGTTGAGGAACAATCACTAAAACCACAATAACTTATTAAGGTTGTTGATAGAAATTGATATTGGAATGTAAATAGAGTGTTGAACTATTGACGCTTATGAAATCCCTTTTTTCAACAGGTTATTTGGTCACAGGTCACGACCGCATAATTTATTTGTGCTTATGGGCATATAACAGAGCTGAAAATATAAAGCACCTGTTGCAAATTCTTAAAATGACAAATATTAGATTTTTTAACTGAAGTATTTATATACATCATTTTTGACATCAGCAAAAAAAAAAAAAGACATTGACGGGCAACTGCACGAGAACCTCATATTTAAGTAAGGTTACTGGCGCGGTGGATGGACCAGGTGTAGACACGTAGCTTAAAATGCGACACCGAAGGGTGTGGCAAAGGCGCAAATAAACTGGATTCATGCTCCCCCTCGTTCGTCCACAGTAATGACTCAGATATTGTGGACAATAAGCCTTGCATCAAGTTTGTCCGCAATTCCGCTGTTCCCAGAGACAACTATGAATTTGATGCACATGATTGAAAAGTACTTTGTTTAAGAATGTTTCAGTTTTAGTGCATTTTTAGTGTATTTTAACGTATTGTTTGTTATAGCATGCAAAAAAACTCACCCGTAATTGTAACTGGATTTTGATATCAATCAGTAAAAGAAATTACATATTATTTGCTTAGAGCGAGAGGAAAAATGAAAGAGCGTTCAATTGCTCGCGGAATGAAGCCATTGCTGCTAAAGGCCACATTCAAGGCTTGCCGAGATGCGGATGACGTCATCAAATATTTTATGGCGGGTAATACGTACACTTAGCGAATTGAATTTCCTTAAAATTATACATCACTCGTGTTTATATGTATTTGATTTAAGTCGATAAACTTAAAGGTGTTCGACTTCATACAATTTGCGTCAAAACGATTTTAAAACAAAATCTACGTTTTTTTTTACCTTTTATCTACAACCTATTCATTGTTTACCTCTAAATAACTTAAACTTCAAATAGTTTTTATCTTTTCTTGCACAGATCATAAACGACTTAATTGACACATTGGATTGACTGCTTTCCATGCGCTGTTCACGTCCAGAGGAGGAACTCCACAGACTTAACACTCACCAGGGCGGAGAAACTGTATATCAAGAGGCAAGAAGGATAAACATCGCTCAATGGCAATATACTGTATTGTGTACAAAGAATATCTACCAGTTACCATCGGCCCAATCAAAATGGATCGATCCCGTCTCCACTCCCCTAAAGACGGTTTTTATACAGGTGAGAAGGCAGTTCTGTTTAACTGAAATATGTCGAATGCTTCCTAATCTTCACGTGCTGCTGCTGCTCGCCTGAGGAAGGCTATGTATCTCGTTAAATTTTCTATTGATTTATATTTGTCGAGATAAATAACTTAACTGTTGATTGTTATCTATCGTGATAAAAATGATTTATTTTAAACTTGTCCAACTCGGTCATAATAAAAAAAGATAAATTTGTGCCAATGAAATTATCTTTCTCACGTTCATTTTTTGCTTAACTGGTCAAGCACTAGCTTGGTCATGCATTATACAAACTATGACATATAACGTATGACGATGATTTCAATGAAGATCCGAAAGTTAAAATTGTTAAATGGATTTTGCAAGAAATTATACATATTAGACTACGCTAGCCAACCTCTTTTGTTGTTCCAGGATACAATGAAAATGTAAACTCTGGGGTCAGCAACATTTTTGCAACATCTACTTTTCGTTTTGGCCAAATAAATCAAACGCAGGCCCAAATACAGTATGTGTAACATTACATAATCAGGGATCATGAATTATCATCAGTAAGTGTGCCTTCTATCAACTCACGCCGTATATTTTATTATTTATTTTTTGCGATGGAAATTAAGCACTAATAACTACAAATTAATAATACTGTCGAGTACAAACCCAAGGAACAGGCATATCCCACCTATAACCTTGTCTGGTGTCTAATTGGTAATAAATTTGACATAATGCTAGATTCTTCTTTCTTACATATCTATTAGCAATGCTGAGACCTTACGCCCTAAATTTAAAGAAAAAAATTTCATTTTTCCCTCAATAGCGTCAAATAAAACCATTTGGAAATACTTAATAAACCCAAACTGTATATTACCATGATGCATTCATTTGAATAGTTCTTATTTTGCATGAGAAAAGGAAATGATATAAACAACGTCCAACAAAATTTTGGGCTGTCGTTTCTGTTTACAGAGTAGTCAGCATCATCACTATGGTGTTTACTGTTTATGACGAAACATCATACAACATAGACGTTGCATCATGACGTTATAACTTGACGTAACAATCCACAGACAACAATGATATCTTATCCACGTGTTTATTTAAGCTGCCGGTGTAACGAACACAATTAGTTATAAAATATAGGGCTCGTCCGGGATTTGAACCCGGGACCTCTCGCACCCAAAGCGAGAATCATACCCCTAGACCAACGAGCCGCTCATGTCCAATGGACCTTGCTTCAGATTTCTAAAATAATGACGATCATTAATTTAATACATGCACGGGGACAGTCACGCACGTGAATAATTAACAGTTCCCTGTCACATATGAACAATCAAGATACAGACAAGGCGCATTTAAGCCGAATTTACAGTCTACTTTAAACGTCTTTTAAATTTATTACCAACTAGTTTTAGCAGGACCTAGCAAATTCATTTGACTTGACTAGGAGATTTAGTAACCGTGAAAGTCTGTTTAGCTTGCTCTGGCGATCAGACACCTTTAACAAACCGGGACAAAGGGGCCATTTTTGTGCCAACCTGAAATCAGCATGTGGTATGGTGTATTCCGACTGCTCTATTACATATTACATTTGCAAAAAACAATCGAATATTTAAGGTGGACCCATCACTAAAATCAATCATTTTTGAGGAATTGAAAGTCGGTGCACCAACTAAACAAATTCAAGCTAAGCACACTGCTGAGATCTTACGCCCTAAATTTAAAAAAAAATCATTTTTCCCTCAATAGCGTCAAATAAAACCATTTGGAAATACTTAATAAACCCAAACTGTATATTACAATGATGCACTCATTTGAATAGTTCTTATTTTGTATGAGAAAAGGAAATGATATTTCCCTGAACGATAAACAACGTCCAACAAAATTTTGGGCTGTCGTTTCTGTTTACAGAGTAGTCAACATCATCACTATGGTGTTTACTGTTTATGACGAAACATCATACAACATAGACGTTGCATCACGACGTTATAATTTGACGTAATAATCCACAGACAACAATGATATCTTATCCATGTGTTTATTCAAGCTGCCGGTGTAACGAAACTGAGAGGCCGTGGAACACAATGTCGCACCTCTACTTAGTTATAAAATATAGGGCTCGTCCGGGATTTGAACCCGGGACCTCTCGCACCCAAAGCGAGAATCATACCCCTAGACCAACGAGCCGCTCATGTCCAATGGACCTTGCTTCAGATTTCTAAAATAATGACGATCATTAATTTAATGCATGCACGGGGACAGTCACGCACGTGAATAATTAACAGTTCCCTGTCACATATGAACAATCAAGATACAGACAAGGCGCATTTAAGCCGAATTTACAGTCTAGTTTAAACGTCTTTTAAATTTATTACCAACTAGTTTTAGCAGGACCTAGCAAATTCATTTTACTCGACTATGAGATTAAGTTACTATAATGTGATAGTCTGTTTAGCTTGCCCTGGCGATCAGACACCTTTAACAAACCAGGACAAAGGGGCCATTTTTGTGCCAACCTGAAATCGGCATGTGGTTAGGTGTTTTCCGACTGCTCTATTACATATTACATTTGCGAAAAACAATCGAATATTTGAGGTGGACCCTTCACTAAAGTCAATCATTTGTGAGGAATT